AAAGAGTGGCAGAGAGGACGATAATGAAGCAAATAATGTACTTGGGTTTGAACTAATTTTGGCGTTTGAACTGATCAAAAAGTGTAGAAAAGATGGGGGAGTTCAGAAGCTTTCTAAAAGAGTTGGAAAATGTGAAGAGTCTCAGTATAATTATTAAATAGAGTGCTAAGGGAGTGTAGTGGTAAGGACTTTGTTAGGTTTTTTTTGTCCATCATCTCAAGATCTGATACTCTATATTTATGCATTACTGTTCTGCCCTTTACGAGAAATTAACTAAGTTTTTGCGGCCTCACAAGATATAAGAAAGTGAAAATTGATTGGATGATCAGTAAAAAATTATTTCAAATCCTTTTTACATATTTAATAGTTCTCAGAATTACTTATTATAGATGAATAGGTTAAAGAGACATGAAGTCCACTACTAGATTTTATTTTAGCAGTAAAAAAAAAATATAGAGTGCTTGACGCGGAGAGGTGCATGGGCTTGGAAACAGGAGAAGATAAGAGAGAGAGACTTTTTTGGTTTACATTTTCCAATCCGAATACCACTTCTCACCAATCAGTCTTCTACAGGAATACATAAACGTATTGGACTTATCTCTCTCTCTCTCTCTCTCTGAGAAATGCGCGCTTCCAAGGGCAATAGCGTGTATTTCTTTTCCTTTTTCAGGGTTTTACTCGACTCCGTCTTCTCAAAACACTATTTCAAAGGTAATTTATGTCATTAATACAAAAGGACGGCATCTTAATCACCCACTAAAAAAATTTTCCTCTAATGAGTAATCGCGAAGGTGCAAAGACACCTTTGTTTGCACCTAGCAAGCGAATTTATCGTTCATTAATAATTAAAGAGTGGTCTGTCCTTATCTTTTAAATTAACTCAAAGAGAAGTCGTTTGTGAGCGCCTAATTAATTAGAGAGAGAGAGAGATAATATTAATATGTCGAATCAATATAAGTCAGTTGTCAGAGATGCTAAGCTTAGATGATCAGGTTTGTGATCTCCAATGGCCAATGTGGTAGGATTAGGCGACTTTAAAGCTAAAGTCAGTCACCCCACTTGGTCTGGAACTGAGTAGTAGTGGTTGCCTTGATCAGATTCATCTCTCTCTCTCCTCTTACTCTCTCTCTCTCTCTCTACATTTGCAAATGGCTCTTCTGCTGCAATCCTCTGCTTTTTCTATAAATAGTTATGGGGCGAACAGCCACTAGACATCCTCGTCTATCCTCCACCGCCAATCCCATGCAATTTGTCACTTTTCTCCCATTCCTTGCATGCACTGATCACTCAACGTCACTCGCTTCATTGGGGGAATCCAATACTCAACGATCCATGCTTTCTGGCAACACGTGGCAATCCACCTGTGGCCGAAGTTCAATCAGCCTCGTTCGCCTTGAGCTTGGACTCTGTCGGGTTTTCACGCACCAACTTACTTTAATCTCGATGTAGGCAAATCTGACGGTTACTATTGGTCCAACGGGGAGAGAAAAAGTAACCAGCAACCAAAAACTACTAACGTGGAACTCTGTTTATTGCACCTTCTATGCCGGTTTTGGGCCAAGAAAACAATTGGGATTCTCGTTGTTCAAAGCTCCTACGTCAAAATTGGAGCAAAACTTTTTTTTTTTTTCATTTTTTAAGAGTAATTTGTATAAATAGTCTTTTAATCTTTTTAAAAAATAACAGTTTAGTCTTTAATTTTTTTTTTGATAAAATGACTCAATTTATTCAATAAATGACAGTTTAATCTTTTTTGTTAAATTCTGTTAATTTTTTAACATGGTACTGATCTTGTTAAAGAGAGTATTTTGATAAAATATCAAGACAAACTCTCATTCTCTCTTCCTCTCTCTCATCTCTCACGCTCTCTCTCATTTCACTTCCATATCCATGGCCAAAAGCTTCAAAGTCATCATCGTGCATAGTAAAATTTGGAAAGAAGCTTTATGCCTGAACATGTGTTGAACATTTGTAAAAAAAAAAAAAAAAATGCTTTGTTTTCCACAAAAAAAAAAAAAAAAAAAAAAAAACATGTGTTGAATCTGCAAACATTTATGCAGATTGCAGATAAACAAATCAACCCACCATTTTTTAACACCAGAACCAAAACTCAAAAACCACCTAAGGACCTTTGATGGTGCTTGGCAATGGAGAGCTGGGTTTGCACGACAGAGTTGGGCGAGACGAGAGGGGGCTCGCATTGAGGAGCGGACGAGCGGTGACGAGTGCTCGGAGACGAATCTGGCTTGTAGCGACGGATCTGCGGCCACGAGCTTCCCAATTCCCACTATGAGCAGTCCCCATCACCGTTCAGTTCTTCCTCGATCGGTTCAAAAGATCCGGTGCTAGGGATCAGTTCTTCGGCCGATCCGGTGCTGGACTGAGCTTAAGACGCTTCTCTTCGAGCGTTTCTGGCGATTTGGGAGCTGGACTTCGAAATTCCAGCGGGATTAGAGCCAAATCGAGCAAGATTTGGACGGGCTCTGGTGATTTCCGTGTAATTGGGGCTGGGCGTCACGATTTCGGCGCGTTCGAGGCTAGCTCTTGGTCTGCCGGTGTGGATAGGGGCATTTTCGTCTTTCCGGCAACAACATAGGCTACGTGGGTTCTCACCTTTTAGACTAACGGAAAGGAGGAGAATACACCTCTTAAAATAAATTGTGGGTCATTTTATAAAAAAAAATTAAAAATTAAACTGTCATCTTTTAAAAAAATTAAAAATTATTTGTGCAAATTACTCTTTTTTTAACATACCCTTTTCCAGTTTCTACCGTCGTGCCAGACAATAGACAACAGATAATAGACAACAGACAATATACAATAAACATTCTGTACTTAAAAACTTAGGTAGCAAAAGCGTATGCAAACCTACGTCAATAGGACACTTAAGGAATCTTAGCACTTTACAAGCCACAAAAACTCAGAAAATAATTTCAGGTATCATTTTGCTCTCCTGCATCCAAATACAGATCGTGAGTTCCTAAACCAAGAGGCGAACAAGATGACGCGTATGCTTCTAAACTCCTATCCAGGAAGAAATAATAATAATAATAATAATAATAAAGTTCAAATTATAGTTGAAATCCAAAAAATAAAAACCTATCCATGAGTTCTCCAGCAGAAAAAAAAAAAAGGCGTAAACATATTATCGAGAGAGAGGAAAAAAAGGACCATATTCGAACCAACCATTATAAGAGGAAAATCTTTACAGGACAATCGGCAACCATCCACGGTAGATTGGCTGTATAATGCTGGAATTAGCATGGTTTAGTCTCTCCTAGAGAGATTTTCTCAGCTATAATGAATTTGTGCATTGACATTAGAACGCAATTAGTACACGACCTCACAAAATTAGAATCGCCACACAAACTTTCGTATCACTGTTAGCGAAAAAAGAAATATTAAAAGAAGACTACAAAAGCAAAAGACACAAACAAACATAGACCGAAACCTTGTGGGTAATAAAGCCAACTCATCTTTTCTTTTGATGAATATTGAATACAAAAAATCAAAATAATTACACCTTATGAAGCAGAAATGATAAATTATAAGCTACATACATGACGGATGAATGTTTGGATTGTGAGCACTGTGAGAACATTCCGTCATGCAACACTAGGAAAGAAAACAAATGAACACGGAACACAACATTTATGCACAACCAAAACATCTACTTATCATAGAGAAAAAGCTCGACGACACCGGTTCTGGCTCAGGCTCAGGCTTCCTGGGGGGAAGATGCTTAAAAAAGGCCTTCACTGCTCCCGTCACACCATCTTCATTCTTCATGGCCTTGGCAATCTCAACAGCACGCTCTTTAACCTAGAATTATTGTAGAATATTAAATAAAGGTAACAAAATGATAAGCTCCAATCCAAACAATCAATTAAAAATGACAAATCGGAAAGAGAAATGCTAACAGGAAGCTTTGATTAATATCAATGGCTGATATTGGGTTACAGAATGAGACATGGGGATATTCGAGAGATCCCTTGCTCTCCCTAGACTATCTTCTCTCAGAAGTTTCACAAACTGAATAATAATCCCTTATTCTACCTCCGTTCTATTTTATACTCACTATCTCTTAATCCGCTCACCAATCCCAAGGCCTTACTAACTACTAACTACTTAACAAACATAACAAACCAACCGTAATAACAAACCACTAACCACTTATTATATTTATTACTAATTACTAACATAATCCTATCATTACTCCCCTCTCCAAGACACCTTGTCCTCAAGGTGTGGTCAAGTGACCGCAGTGGAATGACCATCTCCTTCCCATGTCGTCAAGCCCACCTTTCAAAATGTTGAAGGGCATCGCAATCCTTGAAGAGCCAACTACAACGGTGACAAACCAAGGTGGGAAAGGTGCCACATAAGTGTAATCGAGAGCAGAAAACCCATTGGAGCCATTTATCAGTCCACAAAACATAGAAATTTTAGTTTTTGGAGTTACAAACTCGGAAATATCAGATCTTCCATTTGCGGAGTGTCCAAGTCCTACTCCAATGAAATCAATTTCTCCAACCCCAGCCCCAGGAGTGCTGGAATTCCCAGACCCAGTCCAATTTGGGCCAAAATTTGAGGACCCATTACATAACTTGCTGAAATTTGTTCCATTTTCGCTGAAATTTTTAGGCCCAACCCCTATTGAGCCAAAAGTAAGCCCATTAATGTTGGAATTACGCAGCCCAGACCCAATCAAGCAAGAATCGGACCTGCCCACACCGGAAACACGTGACCCAGCTCTCATTTGGCCGGAATTTCAAAACTCAGCCCCACCGACCCCAGGTTTTGAGCCAAACTTCCATGCCCTAACCATAATATCACCAAAATTGAGTGGGTCGCTACTATACCGGCCGGCAACAGCCTCAACATCGCCGGAATCATGTGCCAGTCCAAACCAAAGCCAAATTGCCAATCCCAGCCTTAGCCGCGTCGAAAATTGTGAGCCCAGCCCCAAATGTCGCCGCGCGAGACCGCCGCTCCCCCTCCGACCACAGCCCACCGTCAAATAGCCCCTTCCGCCATGGGTCTTCGAGATCTGGGGCGATTTCACCTACACCAGCTCGCCTTCCCTCATCGCGAGCTCTGGAATCGCGTAAGCCGATCCAAATCCAGTTGGGATCACACTCAATTTCAGAGGAATCACCAGACCCGGTCCAAATCCGGCTGGAATCAGGCCCCTCCGTGTTGCAATCACGCATATCGGTCCAAGTCCCACCGGGATCTCCGAAAAATGTCTAACATAGGGCATACCTCTTGGAGAAAACAACTTGTCGTTTATAGAAGGTCCATACGACTTGTCGTTTAGTGTGGCAGCTTTGAGTAAACTTGCTGATTGGCTTCAAAAAGGCTGAATGTGAGGTTGCTGTCGTATCCAGGTGCTAGATGTCGTTCCCTTAGCCACCTTCAAGGCCATATTACGATCCTCCACCCTCTGAGCCAATTCAATGATCCGATTCAACCCACTCGGCTGAAGCAGACGAATATCCGCCCTAATTTTCGGTTTGAGTCCATTGATAAAGTTTCCCTCGAGAATCGCTGTTGGAATCTCCGTTAACGGAGCGACCAGCATCTTGAAGTCCCAGATGTAAGCTCGCACTGTTCCCTCTTGCCGAAAAGCGAGGAACTTCTCACAGTTCGTGCCCTCCTGCGACGGTCGGAAACGTTCAAGCTGCAGCGACTTGAATTCCAGCCAGTTACGAATCGGCCTACGACCATCCATCCACTGAAACCAGGCCAACGCCTCTCCATCTAAACTCACTGACGCCGCCTCTCCCATGCGATTTAGGGCAAAAAATCGCTCGGCTCGAAAAATCCAACCTCTGGATTCAGTCCTTCGAAGATCGACATTTCGATCCGCCTCGTCAAACCTCCAAGTCGGAGATCACCTTCTCGCTGTCCGGTTCCCGATCCACCTCCGCTGCCGTCTTCCGCCGTCCTCTTCGAATGGGACGAAGGTAAGTCCTCCAAAGTTCCCTTGATCCCCAGGCTCTTTTCCCCTTGGTTCCGCATTAATAAATCCAATTTTCCCAAAATTAACATCACGTTCTTCTCCCAGGCCGGAATCTTCTGTAAAACGCCCTTAACTCCGTCCATCTCCTTCGAAATTCCCTCCCACACCGCGCTCAACTATTCTTCCACATAACCTAGCCTCTCTTCCATCTTCTTGGCCGCCATCTCCAACTGCTCAAGATCGTTGCTCTGATACCAATTTGATAAGCTCCAATCCAAACAACCAATTAAAAATGACAAATCGGAAAGAGAAATGCTAACAGGAAGCTTTGATTAATATCAATGGCGGAAATTGGGTTACAGAAAGAGATATGGGGATATTCGAGAGATCCCTTGCTCTCCCTAGACTATCTTCTCTCAGAAGTTTCACAAACTGAATAACAATCCCTTATTCTACCTCCGTTCTCTTTATACTCACTATCTCTTAATCCGCTCACCAATCCCAAGGCCTAACTAACTACTAACTACTTAACAAACATAACAAACCAACCCTAATAACAAACCACTAACCACTTATTATATTGATTACTAATTACTAACATAATTGATAGATTCCAGATCAAGTGCCCTGTGGAAACGACAATTCAAGAAAAGAATTGCTAACAGAAAGCTTCGATTATCAACAATGGCGGAAATTGAATACAGAAATGGTATGGGAATATTCGAGAGATCCCTTGCTCTCCCTAAAACTATCTTCTTGAGGAAGTTTCACAAAATCAGAATTATCCTCCTTTATTCTACCTGTCCTATTTATACACATTATCCCTAAATCCCTCATCAATTCCAAAGTCTAACTAACCACTAACTACTTGCTGACTCAGCCTCGCCCTCCTTCCTTTCACCAGAACAGTCCTTGCGCCTCCTTCTAACATGTGTAACGCACGGGGGGTTTATCATTACCCCCACCCCAAAGACGCACCTTGTCCTCAAGGTGGAAATGGGGAAATTGGGCATTCACCACATCAAACGTTTCCCAAGAAACATCATGCTCTAGCAAGTCCGCCCAGCGAATCAACACCTCCAAATCCGTGTGCCCGCCATGGAGCCGTTGGTGCACCCCAGCAAGGCCGCTAGTTCAACCTGGAGTTCCAAGTCGCCTGTCAACTGAGGGGGTAACTGGGAAACAGCGTGGTCCTAGCCCACTACTCGTCGGAGTTGAGAAACATGGAACACCGGGTGTATAGCTGCGTCCGCGGGCAAGGCTAAACGATAAGCCACAGGGCCAACGCGTTTAGTAACCTCATAAGGACCATAAAAACGGGGGCTTAACTTTTCGTTGCGTCGCCGAGCGAGCGAGACTTGGCGATAAGGCCGAAGCTTGAGGTACACCAAGTCGCCCACGTCAAACTGTACATCGCGTCGTTTATTGTCCGCCACAGCCTTCATTTTCTATTGAGCACGCAAGAGATGAAACTTGAGGAGATCTAACATAGCATCCCGGTCCATCAATTGCCGTTCCACGGACTCCACAGGCGTCGCACCGACCCCATAGCGTAACAGCGGAGGAGCTCGTCCATATACGACTAGAGATGGGGTCGTCTGAGTGGCAATATGAAAGGAAGTATTATACCAATACTCTGCCCATGCCAACCACTTATGCCACTGCCCCGGCTTGTCGGAAGTAAAACAACGTAAGTACGTTTCAACGCATTTGTTAACGACTTTAGTCTGCCCATCGGACCGGGGGTGATATGCGGTGCTGCGGGAGAGTACGGTGCCCATCCGTTTATGTAACTCTGTCCAAAAGTGACTGAGAAAAATGCAGTCCCGGTCCGACACAATGGTGCGAGGTACGCCATGTAGACAAACCACCTCTTGGATGAACCGGTGGGCCACTTTCTCAGCCGAATAAGGATGCTTGAGGGCAACAAAATGGGCATATTTGCTGAGTCGATCAACGACCACCAGAATAGTGTCAAATCCTTCCGAGGGAGGCAGTCCCTCAATGAAATCCATAGACATGTCTTCCCACACTTGCTTGGGCACAGGCAATGGTTGTAAGAGACTGCTAGGAGCCAAAGTAGAAGCCTTACATCGCTGACACACCTCACATGCTACCACATATGAACTCACATCCTTCTTCATGCCTGTCCAATACCAGTCCGCAGCCAACCGGCGATAAGTCTTCAATTCCCCGGAATGCCCTCCTAGCACGCCATTATGATAAGAACATAACAGCTGCTGCACCATTGGGGACTTCGAAGCCACAAGGCCCGGAAAGAACAACCGCCCTTGCCTAATTGAGTACCCGGGGTGCGTTGCAGTGTTATGTTGTAAATCCGACCAAATTCTTGCCAACCGTTCATCCTGTAACACTTGTTGGTGTATGGTCTCAGTTCGGATCACGGAAGTTGCTGACAAGACACTTAAAGTGGGGTTGGCCTGGCGTCGAGACAAAGCATTGGCCGCCCGATTCTCGACCCTCGGACGGTATTGAATCTCAAAATCATATCCCAGCAACCATTTCTGATGTTCAACATTCGCTAGTCGCTGCTCTAATAAGTATTTGAGGCTCCGCTGGGCAGTTCGGATGATTCCAAAAAAAAAAAAAAAAAAAAAAAAAAAACACTAGAATTACCTTGGGATCAAGCATAAAATTAATTGCCTCAACCAACTTGGGAAGTGAAAACTCATCAACTGGGATGGGGGAAGGACCTACTCCTCTAACATGTACTCGTTCTCCCCAGAAAGGTTGGTCCCCAAAAAAAGGAACAATCGTCGTGGGACACTACAATACGTAAAATATTTAACAAATCAAGAATCAGGCAGAAGATAAATAACAAGAAACTGAAAGTTCTGAAACATGACTGGTTGTGAAGCCATTACCGCAGCTTTTAGACCCGCAGCCGTTGTTCCGGCACCTCCATGATGCACCTAAGAGCAATGCATTAAACCATAAGAATTACCCTATAGATTTTAGAAAAATAGAAGACTTGGCAGGGAAGAAAAGGTTTGCAAAGAATGTTAACCTAATAACTAAAACAAGATTGAACCAAAAACCCTGCAAATCAGAAAGGCCAATGACGCTGAGCACATATCAGTTATCTAACTTTGTTTAGGTTTAAATGAGAAGACCTAACTATTGACAGGATAGTTAATATTTGCACATCATGAGTCTGTCAAATAAATGAGGAATTCATTTTGATGAAAATGTAGGCAGGCAATCAAAGTCTTAACCGTAAATTACAACTGCAGATTTGGAAGCCATAAAACTAAAGAATTGAGCCTTACCACAGCCTTGCATTGTAAAAAGAGCCAGTCGTGAGGGCAATTATCCAATAAATATATGAAATCTTTGGGTTCGGCCACTGGAAATAAGAGAAAATCAAGTCAAGATTATCAGTATGACAGGTCGGTTTGAGTTGTACTAAGATTACTGTATCTGATAACTCACAGTTCCCAAGACCGCCCCAGCCTTTGTTAATTATGCCTCTTTGTCCCGTTCTTTCAAGTGCTTCTACAATTATCTGCGTCATTTTTTCGGGCTCTTGAACAGGCTGACAAGACAAGGGAGAAAAAAGTTTCAACAAGATAAACGAGACGGCAAGTCCAAAAGGCTGAACATAGCTAGAGTCTCCTGTCAACTATAAACACAATGAAGTCATGAATCACAAAAGGCAAATATTTACAAATCTTCTTTGGAGGAAAGTATGCAGAATCTCTCGTTGAATTCTATTTTAGATATACGGACTAAAGAGTATTATGCCATCTTGACAAGACCAAAGGGTTGGTAGATAGGTGCTAAGAATGGTTGCTTTAACAAGACAATTAAAATAAGAAACTCACAAGACTACCAAATCCAATATAAATAGGCTTTTCACCAGCTTCAAGCCATTTTACAAGTTCCTCAGGAGGTTCATAATTTGATGCAAGATCAAGGAAGCAGAATCCCACTACATCAATTTTTGGACCCCAATCTGCAAATCAATTAAAGAATACATATAATATATGCTTCCTTAAATGACAGAAACAGCATGCTAACGGGGAAGTACACACACATCATACATTTGAAAGGTAATGCACCCACCTTTCGGTTTAGGAACAAGGTGGGGACTCCATATATATCCATGCGGAATATCAGAATCTGAGCCTTGTGAACCACTTAAATATGTGACAGGACGAAGCTTCAACTTTTTCTTGCGAACATCATTAATCATGTCCCGTATTCCAAGCCAGATCAAAGAGTCCACGATTTGATATGACAGCTGAAATAATATAAGCATGAGAAATATTGTTAGAAGTAACCATGGATCATGGAAACGAAAATGTTACAGAACTGCAATAATCATATACATGACTATAAAAAGTTTACAAAAAGTAAAAGATCAGCAGACTCACCCTATATCCAGCTGATTGCTTGACACGGGATAAAGGATGTGGAAATTCACTAGTTGGCCTGTTAGATATGGATAAAACATATGCAGCACAGAATTTAAATTCCAATTAAACTATATGAAAGTACGATCAGATTGAATCTAAAAAAGAAGACTATCAACATATTACTCCAGAACATAAAATTGATTCCATTACCCAAGAAAGACTTACGTCCATGGCATTGTGAAAAATATATGAATTGGTACTTTCAGTGCCTCTGCCACATGAGTATGACCTAAAGAAGCGTTTATAATGATAAGAAAAAAAAATTACACACGAGGAAATGTAAAATGAAATCTGCAAGGTATAACTTTGAACTCCAAAATTACAGTTGACACTAAGACACTCAAATAAGCTTCAAAACCACGTAAAGATGAAAACTACACAAAGGATCCATAAGTAATAAGAGCTAACCATAGGCTGGGGGGTTTGCAATGATTGCCTCTGCTTTAAAGGGAATGCCAGAATCCATATCAGGATCCTTACAAGCTGAAAGTAAAGAGTATATGATATCCTTCATTTGATTTCGTTGAACAGGAATTTCAGATGGCCCTGAGGGCAAGAATCCTTTGTTTTTAACCATATCTGCGTGGCAAAACAAAAAACAAAAAAACACACACACTAGAATCAAACTACTTTTAGAAAAATTCGAATAGAAGACCACTCTCATTATTTGGCAAATAGTTCAAGTACACTCATGCCAAGTGAATGCATAAGCATATCTATGTAAAAATTTGAATGCATTTATGCACCTCTTAGAGAGATGGAGCATCAAAAGTTCCAAAAAGCATATGCTAAAGCAACGAATTTGAACCAACCATACATGAAGGCAAATCTCAATTAATGCTTTTCAAAAGAAAATATGACTAAGTGCTCGAAGATGATAGACTCATCAAAATATCAGTAGTGGCCAATGTTTTTTCTATCAACAGTTGAGACCAAATAAATTAACAAAAATGGCTTTGATTGGTACTTACAACCAGCAAGAACTTTGGGGTCGCCTCCTAAAGGGTAAAACTCCAACCCAGCGGTCAAGACAAACTCTTTGAAATTTGAATGAGTGGCTAGTCTAACACGGTGGCCATAGTCCTGCATGCAGATGGTAAATATAAATCTTAATCACCATGGTTAATGGAAGAAATTTAAATATATATATAGAGATGTATATCTAGGTCTTCATTCACATATTACCGTAATTACTGACAAGTGAAAAGCAAAGATTACTCATCTATAATACAATATATGACAAGATAGGAAGTATGCTAAAATAATTATCACCTGTAACCGTTTGCCAATAGCAATAAATGGCTGAACATCTCCTCGTGTGCCAACAATAAGCATTACAATCTGTAGTGGGGGTAGGTCCGCTGCATCAAGAGGCTCACAATCAACAACTTCAGTATGAGTTTGTTTGGGACCAAGGGATAGGGGTTCAACATCTCCAGGAACTTCAAATTCCACAGTTCCATCATCTTTCACGGTAGCTATTCTGTTCAACAATTTGAGCTGCAGAATTTTAATTAGTTAGAACTTAGGAACGTGGGTTTAAAAGGATGAATTTGTGTCTTAATTGCTCAAGGCAACCTAAAATGATAAAAATATTTATAAAGAAACACCACAATTCTCCATTTTCACTTCAAATGCAGGATTTCTAGACCACTTCTGTTAAATTAGACCACGCATCAGTGTATTTCACACATACACTACAAGATGCTAACTATGTGTATGAAAGAAATGCTTGCGTTATTTTTAGATGAGCAAAATAGTTAACTAACAATTTTAACCTGCTACCCACGTCCAAGAAATCCTTTATGACAAGGTATAGACAGTTGCATGGGCCCAAGGTTCAACAAAAATAAAAATAAAAAACAGATAAAGCACAACACACCACTTCATATCACAATCATACCAAGATTTTACGAGACCAACCACAAGGTTAACACTCAACTCCTCTTCCTTTTCCCCCTGTTTGAAATGGACACAATGCCTCTAACAAGTAAAAATACCCAAAAAATAATAATAATAATAATAATAATAATAATAATAATAATGATAAATCGACAAGGCCTGGGAATTTGCAAATCATTAATTCACGCGTTAAAACACAGATTCTGGCAGTTAAATATGTGCAAGAGTAGTACATTTCTTCACATTCGGTGTGCCTAAACAGGTTAGCTGCATTAACACGCAGAGAGCGTTCCTTCGAAACGCCCGTTAAGTAAAGGGAAATTTCGAAAAGGAACGTGTAACAAGTAACAACAATTTTTAGTTTTAGTACAATATAAGTTTTTCTTTCCCCTAATTGTAAATAAAACTACAAGATAAATAGATAAATAGAAGTTTAATCACTCCTATAATTACCTTCTGCTGAACAGGGATTTTGTCGTTAAAAATTTGTGCTGCCTCTACGGAACCTATGTTGTGATGTCTAGACCGCTCAGTTTTTGCCCTTTCCAACTTAAGTGGACTTGAATTCGACTCGAATTTGTCAAGATTCGATATTTCCCTCGGCAATGTGTTTGTCTTTTGCAAACTCGTACCCGAAATTCCTGAATTAAGAAAATAAAAACAACAAAAGAAAACAAAAACAAAATGTATCATGAGTGATAAGAACGGAACCAAATAGTTTTGACACAATGCTAAGAGAAACGCTCTTCGTGTATCACTTATGGCGAAATAAAAGCTTCGTAATAAGTTTGAATTTCAACAGCGTTAGTTATATTCCACAGTTCACTACTTTTCTCCACAAGTCACCTCCAAATTGAACACGAAATTCAACGAATTAAAAACAATTTTCATTCTCTCGCACTTTCTCACCAACCAAACGCAAGTTCAATTGAAGTCCAAAGCCGACAAACCTGGAGAGTTACTGCCACCGTTATCGACGGAAGCACCACCTCCACTCGCCTCTCCGCTCTCCAATTCCAATCCATTACCGGCACTAGCACCACTGCTTTCCACTTCTCTTGCCTCCCCGCCATTCGTACCGACGTTCTCTCCCTCGATTCTCGCCGGAGCTTCGCCGGAATTCTCAAAAGATACGCGACGATTCTCTGGCGGCTCCGTCATCACGGCCACTGATTCCGCCAAGCTTTCCCTATGGTCCTGATCCAGATCCGTATAAAAGCTTCGAGACGAAAAAGCAGAGAAAGCGTAGTGATTTCTGGTTAGCGCATCTTTGGATTCTAGGGAAAGAGATTGGAAGGAAAATTGAAGGTTTCCGACCAAGAGCGAGAGATTCTGTCTTCACAGAATAAAAGGAGAGGATGTTGAAACGAAGAAAGAGAAGAGGAAGAGAAAAGTAATTGAAAAAAAAAAAAAAAAGGGCACGTTCGACAAAGTGGGTGAGGGGGTCTGTGATGCCGAATTCGGGACAGGCACGCAGCTTCTCTTGTGAACTGTATTTTTCTTTGATGTGCGGAGCTGTTAATTTTAAATTACGAGTTGTTTGTATTTGTATAAGTACTGAAGGGGAAACATTAGCAAAAAAAAAAAAAAAAAAAGGTACTGCGGGGGAAAAATTAAAAGAAAATAAATTACAAAAAAAAAAAAAGGAAAATCACATGGGCAGCGATTTTTTTTTTTTCTTTTTTTCCTTTTCTTTGGAGGAAGATATCTGGCGCGAATCAAAATAAATAAATAAAAAATCTATCTGCCGCGTAAATGATTATATGCGTTTCATTTCTCCCTCCCTTTCTCTCTCCTCGTTGGAATATAATGTTAATCATAAATTTGAGACGAGAAAAAAAAAAAGAAAAATTAGATTATCTAGGTCATTACGCAAATCTTTCTTTGGAATGTTTGGCTATATTAGGTCCCGTTCATTTCGCTGATTCGAGTTTAGAATTTGAGTTTTACTATAGTAAAAAGTTCTCACAAACAATCACATCTAACTTTTTTACTACAGTAAAAAGCTCTCACATAAAATCACATCTCAACTCAAATTAAAAACTCAAATCAGCGAACTAAACGGACTCTTAATGTTTCTTATTCTTGGATGTACTATTATTATATTATATTTTTTTGGTCCAATGGTCTCATAATTGTTTGTTTATTGTGTGTTAATAAAAAAGGAGGTAGTTGTTTCAACACCTCTCAGTGTTGGTGATATCCTTCACTTGGTCGAGTCGGTTACTATTGGTGTTGGTTGTTTGGTTCAGTTAATTTTAGGTTGCATAGATGTCCTTTATAAGAGGGATTTAATTTCGGTCGACTGGATTAATCCATCGACCGTTTAGTCTCTTTCAACGAGCTTCGACTCTGCTCAATTTTTATGTGCCGATCGGACTTTTCCTTTTTAGTTATCGACATTAGTATGCGCCTTTGTATTATTATTATTTTTATTGGTAGATCCAGTTGTTCGGGTTGAATTTCATTGTATTCGGAGTCATTTGCGACTTTATGTCGGGTGTGTATTTCATGAAATTTCTTTTTATCAAAAAATAATTGTTTGTTTAATGACAATTTGATTTTTAAATTTTAAAAAATAAAAATAAAACATCTTCGAGTTCCAGAATTAGTAGCAAATGGCCATAAAAAAAATAATAATAATAGCAAGTGGACTAAAATTGGACATAAGTTGTGTATTTCATTAGTAATGAAATTTATTTTTATCAAAAAATAATTGTTTGTTTAATGACAATTTGATTTCTAAATTTTAAAAAATAAAAATAAAAATAAAACATCTTTGAGTTCTTGAATTAGTAGCAAATGGCCATACAAAATAATAATAATAATAATAGCAAGTGGACTAAAATTGGAGATAAGTTTTACATGGCATACCTCGTGGTCAATATTAGTTTTTGGCCAAACTTACTAAAACAACTATATTAGAGAGGAAAGAGTAGTAGCAATCTGTTGTAGGGTAAATTATGGAACCTTAAATTAGGCATCGAATGGGGCCCATGAGCCATTAAGAAGGGTATTAAGCAAGTGATCTAAGGACAATCCAGCTCTAATTATACATAGGAGGTCGACCGCTTCAAGGAGACGCAAAGGACAACATGAGGTTGACCGCACCAACAGCTGTAGGCAAAGATGGTTCTAAGAGCGCTTATGAAGTCGAGCCTACGCAAGTCGAGTGAGATGCGAGATTTGCTCCGAGATTTACTATTTGTAATTCAAATATATGAAATTTAAGCAATAAAATCGTCCCGATTGATTGTAACCTCCATCTTTCGAGAAATTATCCAAAAAGATGAGGAAATTATCCCGAAATTAAATAGGAAAGACAGCTGGGACAATGGTCAACAATACAAATAGGGGATTGTAGGTTGAAAAATTCCAGAGTCTCATTGAGAGCAATTATAGTGTAATTTTTTTTAAAAATTAGTGGATTCTCTCCTCCCTACAGTAAACGTAACTCTTGAATTAAGAATGAACGAATATAATTCTCGTGTGTTCCTATTGTTTGATTGTTTTTAATCAAGTTTAAGATTAATAAATTCGCACAAATTATTTTGAAATTTATTATATTTTTATTGACTAATTTTCACAGTTAACACAATCGCCGGTGATAGTCGCACATAGCCTTCTGCATTACAAATGGCTAACTCTGCCGCGAGCCACGCCTTTAGCCCCTCACAAAAAACTCATCGTTATCGTCACCCAATCGCATGCCTATCATTGCCTTCACCTAGATCACATTGTTATCGTCACCCTATCTCATGCCTACCTCCACCTTCCCACTCAGTAAGGCGCTCCTTTGAGTTTAAAGTATAAAACGATCTTCAGCAGCCTTGATATCGTCAACGGTAAAGTCAGAGTCTCCGTCTCCATGTAATGCCGGTTGGCCAGTGAAGGCTAGTAGTCTCCGTCTAAAGGCAATTGGAAAAGAATTAGGGGGGAAATGGCCGAAAAAGTTCATACATGCATGATTTTGTCTTCTTTAAATTGAACTAATATGCTTTGGATCAACTTTCCAATTATTTTGTCCACTTGACTTCCAGTAATTCAAATTGCAAACTCTTTCTAAGAAAGGTCCAAATATAGTCATAGTGACTTGGTATCCTCTTCTACCCACTTCGGCGAAAGTGAACGTTGATGGAGCTTCCATTAGAGCATGTTTACCTACGCGTAATCGAAATGAGCATGAATCGAAGTGGGTAGGATTCGGAGTGAGAAATCAGAGTCATAATAAGCTGTTTACTTAGTGATAAGATTCGGAATCGGAGTCATTCTAAATCTCATTCATACGTTTACTTACACCCAGAATTAAAATAAAAAAGTGTAAAAGTATTAATATACCCTTTAAATCAATTTGATATTTTCAATTTAAAAAATATATTGTGTACTTCTTATATTAAAATTAATCATAATTAAAATATTTAGTGTAATAATTGGGTACTAAAATAATAAATATAAATTGTACAACTATTTAAAATATAAAAATAAATTTTAAAAAAATTTAAATAAAATAAATAAAAATAAAAAATAGTGTTAAAAAATAAAATATATTATTAATTTATTAAAAAATAAAGTACATATTTATTATATTAAAGTTAACAATAATTATGCTAATATTATAATATTAGACAAATAAAATAATAAATATATGTTGCATTTATTATTTTTTAAATTTTCTTTTTAATTGTGTATTTATAAGTAAAATAATGGTATAATAGTAAATTGATATTAATATTAGGAATGAGAGTCTCAATCTCAAGGGGGGCATGGGAATGCTAATCCCATTCCTCAATCTCAAATTTGAGTGGGACCCACCAATCTCACTTCCATTTCAGGATAAAAAATAGCAAGTAAACATGATATTGACTCTCATTTTCCACTCCCATTCTTCAATCCTGGTAGATAAATATGCCATAAATGCTTTATTGTAGCTAGTGGGTGTGACATGATTCATATTTGTTTTGGGTTTTCTGTTGGACGCTTTCAGGCGAAATTTAAAGAGTTTAGTAAGGAACATATATAAATCAATATACTTTTTCTCAATTACCCTTAGATTAGTGCTATCACTTTCTCCTTTATATTGAAACTGGTGAATTAAGAAGACATGTTTTCTAAGAGGCCATTCGTTTCCAATCCCAAAATTCTTTTTATTATTCCAAAAATTAACAAAACAAAAGTACTCGGAGAAAATATATGTTTGGTTGTTGTTCTTATGAAATAATAAAAAATAAAAAAACTCGTGATTCCATAAACAACTGCAAAAGCTTTGAAAAATGGAATAGTAATATTAGTTACTGTTTTCTTTATTTTCACTTCAGAACCAGTTGGCGGAATGAAACCAAAGAAATATAGAACATAGGAGGTGTGCTGACGCCCAAGGTTTCTAGGGTGGTTTCGTAATTTGAGGGGCAAAACGGCTGAGGTTGTTGGAGGTGGTAGAGCAGCGCGATTGGGCTGTGGTCATGTCGGCTCTGTTAATTTCACCGATTTAAATTTATAATTTGAGTTTTATTATTGTAAAAAACTCTCAGAAATAGTCACATCTAATTTTTTTGTTATAGTAAAAAGCTATAACATAAAATCACATCTTAACTCGAATCAGCGAACTAAACGGACCCGTCATGATTTGTTATATGCCACCTAGTTGAGGTCGTCTTGGATCATCAGCGTAAAAAATAAAATAAATTCAAGTATCACATTATTTAAATATTATAATAAATACAATTTATTTTTTTTAAAAGGATGAACATGTGATGAGGTCTATATCATATACATGACAGCATATAATTTTTTTTTTTTTTTTTGCAATTAACATTTTACTAGTGTTCATATTTGCACTAATTAAACATTTTATATCATCCATTTTTCGTATCTTATTAGTGCAATAATCATTTATTAGCTATCATGAATATCTCTTTTTGTCATCTTATTGTTAGTCTATTAATCTTTTTTTTTTAAATAGACAAAAATAATGATCATTATTAGCTTAGGATGAATGTTATTTAGATTTAGATTAATTTCATAAATGCCTCCAATATTTTAAAATGTTCTTTGATTTTTTAAAACAATTCAAAACACCTTTTAATGTATAGAAAATAATTCAAAATGTCTCATTTATCTAAATCTGTCTATAATTTTAACAGAAATGACGACGTGACAAGCATTAATATTATTTAAAGCCATAAAATTGCAATTAAATATATAAAAATGATTAAAAATTAAAATGATAGTAAAAGAGACGACATTTTAACCTCCTACAAACTTGGTTGGTCTTTAAAGACTTGTACAC